TCCTCGACGAGGATCCTGAGGGGCCTCCGGCTGCGAGTCTGCTTGTGGAAACGCAGGAGTCCCTCAAGAGGCATTTGCAGCGGAACGAGGTGGTTAATGAAGACATGCAGCTGAGAATGCCTGGCGGCGTGCGCCATGACCAAGAACACAACGAGCGTATGAGAATCAGTCTACAGGCCAAGATTATGCAGATTAATGAGGCGTATCGCACAGGGCGGTTATATGTCAAGGCCTTCAAGGATGGGATAAATCCACCAGATGTGGATGGGAATCACGAGAGTTATGTCAAGGATCTGAAATAATTGATAGGGATAAACAAGACAGCTCATACCAGGGAGCATTTCAAGAGTGAAATTTGCTAGGTATCCCTCTACATCCCCACTGTGCCTAAGTACTTATCGTCTACCTTTTTCTAGGGCTATAGGAAACTCCTCATCATGCACCTTTATATCTCCTGCTTTGGGCAGCCAAGGCTTCTGACATACTTGAGGTCCCGAATCTGCGGCCTTCTATATTTCTTCTCGGTGCTAGTGTTTCCAAAGGAGTGTTCGAGCTCCACTAATTAATAATTGAACCCAGCCCAAAAATATTTAGAAAAGTCACAGCGTCGTCTAAGTTCCTAGGAGGTAGCGTTATTGAGTTTACTATTGCACACCTGTTCAATGCGATGATATCCAATTTTGGAGGTACACATTATCACGAAATGATGACCCTGCCAGTCATGGGCTGTGGTTATTTAATGAGGTCCATCCCTCACATATCTACGGATCCACAACGAGTCATGACGAGATGAGATCGTTTTCGTTACTTTGTCTATCAATCATCTTTGTCTCAGGCGGGATTTGTTCCAGCGGAACCACCCCAAAGAGCTTAGATCTATGTACCAGTAAGTACGAACACCCTCGGTCGCTAAGTACAGTTACTAATTCTGTGTTGAGATTTCCGTATCCATCACCCCGGTTTCCAAGACCCACTATCAAAGATATTTGGCACAACCAAGGTTATTGGTGCTGACTGTCGGATAAGCGGAGCATCAAATGAAACGGGATATACATACATGGATCTCACGCCATGCCTTTGGATGAACAACGGCTATCTGAATGTCTCGAATTCATTTGATAGATGTGGGGGCCACTTCTCGAACTCATGCCCCAACTGCTGGCTGGTCGGCAAATCGATGAGCTGCACCTGCAATTGGATGGGAAAGAGCTTACCGAGCACTGTCAAACTAGGTGTGCATGCCCCCGTCATTAGTAACGAGTAACACTAATTGTGTGGACAGATGACTTTTTGGAGTCAACGGAAGGGCACCTGTCATGCAACCAGGGAGCCTGGGTTGGAGCACGAGGGCCAAGTACTGTACCGTGCGGGATGGGCAATCACACAATCCTTCGCCTACACCAGTGAGACCGGAGAGATGTGCTATAGCTGGTTCGGTGGTTCGGCTCTTACAACACTTGTAAATCCCCGGGTTCTCTGAGGCACAGCAAGATAAGTATCAGGAAGTCTCTGCAGAAGTTTGATTGCAGCGCTGGTTCTATAAGCAAGTCCTAAGCAGTCTTAGAATAAGTTCCTTTATTATTCTGTGTACATGCATAAAGTATGGCTCTGGTCGTCAGGGTGTCTGTTAATTAGGACTTCTTACGAGGTCCGTAGTTGTGTTGTATCAATATGTAGAAGATGAATTTTAGCAGCTCTGCTTAGCCTATTCTCTCGGGTGAATAGGAATAGCCGCATGCACGGAAGCTCAATGAGCTGTTATTCAACATGATTAATTATACTTGGTGGATTGCTGGACTGTCGTCACTTAACTATAAATCTCAAACACAGAAAAGTCGAGAGCGGCACGGAGAAGATGAACGACAAACGACGATCAAGTTACAATGCCTGTTCTCTCCCCAGTCGGTCTTACAATTTATTCTTCAGTGCTGTCAGACCTTGAAGGTCTTCAGCGCAAACCGCAGCCTGATTCTGAGCAAAGTCGTATAGTATGATTGATGCGCTGAGCACAGCTTCCCGCGAAGGAGTGCTGTCCTCAGCGATTCTATTAGAGCTCGAGACAAACCTGGCCATTTTGACGAGATTGCGGTTGCAAACAGGGAGTTTCGCAGATTGCGTCCGGAAGGTGTAGCTCATGGTTGAGCTGAAGAATTCTCGGATTAATACACTCTGGCAAGGCATGCTCCCGGTCGGCAAATTCAACCTCTGCTGCAGTGCTGCCACCTGTCGCGGCGAGACCTTTGGCCATGAGGGAGTCTCTAGCCGCTGTGCCTCATTTGAAAGACGATGCGCTTCCCCCAGTAATATCTTCCCGAGCCAAATCGAGATGCCGCCGTTCAGGCGAGATTCCTTGTTGTCTACTCTTGGAATCTCTGCTTCGCAGTTTGCATCAGCCTATGTGACTCTGCATCAAGACGTCAAAACCTCGTCATACTTATTCCCATGCGAGATCCTGCCCCTCGCTCCAAGGTTTGCGAGCTTTCGACCATTTGTAAGTATCGCTTAACCCATATCGTCATCGGCCGAGCGCGGAGCCAGACGGCGCAGGGATGCAGGTGTATAATTCGTGTGGTAGCTCGGTGTATGCGGTGGTGAACTGGTTGATTTGATGCGAGCGAGTGACAGTTCATGAACTGCCGGTTGGTAGACGGGAGTCGATTGTGGCACAGTGAAAGTGAACAATGCCCAAAAATTCTCGTTGGCGGTAGGGGCGAAATATGCTGCCATTCTCAGTTCAGGTCAGTAGAGGTTCGTTGTCTTGTCGTACTGGGTAGCTTCGGTTGAGTACGAACCGTTACTCAGAGGATTAACATCCTCGTGGGCGGTGAATCATGGGCGGAAACAGGCCTTCCCATCTAACAGGGAGTCTGTGTCGTTGGCCGTGAGGACGTCCAAAGACCAAACATTGGTGATGGTGGTTTAGGGTGGTATCTCAGAACACGAGTACATGAAGGGCGATAAAGGATGAGGCACTTGTGCAGAGAGGGAGAGGGCAGCGACAGAGCAGGAACGGAGAGAGAGCTTCGACCCGCTGGGCACCATTGGCTCGGGTAATTGAAGGCCGAGAGATTGAATGTCTGGGACTGGGACACCCCGGGGGGCTTCGTATCTGATGCTGGCTGTCCGACGCCGGTGCCACTGGACGGAGGCACAAATCTCTCGGCTTTGTCAATTTCAACTGCTGGAGACACCATTCAGCCGGTAGCGCGCAGGTGTAAGTATGCATACGTATCCTCAAGCAGGCCTCGTCTCTGGCAGCTGCGTGCTTCATGGCGATGTTTGGCCCAAATCCCGAGCGCCTTGGCTTCCGAGCACACATTGGCACCGAGAGGTTAGCCGCAAAGTGGCTTGCGCAGGTGTGACACGGCCAAGCCGTTCATGGTAGTGGCTGGGTTCCCCGCACCCTCTCTAGCCGGACGTAAGCCCTGCCCCGCTGCAATCAATTGGCATGTGCATCGGCGACCGCAGCCACAGGGCCCCAACGTGAGCCTCTTCTGACTCGCTGGAGCTCGGGCCAATGGACAGGAAATGCTGCGGCTGGTGCGCTCAACGTTGTGGGCGCGATGGATGGCACTGGACACGCAGGTTCCGGTTATCCTGGCATGGCGGGTGGATGAACGGTTCCGCCTGAGCAACACAACACGCCACTCTGCACCTCCCCGAGGTCGGTCTGTGGATGCAGCTCGCCATCCGTCGTAAGTGAGGATCCAGGCCAGGCAGGCCAGGCTTTTTTGTTGTGCTGGTCCATGTGGTGGCGCTGGACCGTACGACATGCATTAGCCTGAACGTACCTGCAGGGAAGATCCCGGGGCAAGCGTCTCGCCAGAAACATTCCGGGACCAGGGATGCGTGCCGACCGCGTTTCCACCCCGGCTAGGGCCCTGACGCATTGCTGAAAGCAGGTCGTCAAGCCAGCCAGCCAGGCTCAATCCGCCAGCTGCGAGAGTCATGCAAACTCGCATCTCTCTTGAGTCCTCCTCGACCACGCTCTAGCAGGGTGCTATGGGGTCTCGGCCAACACGCTAATAAAGGAGTGGCTGATGGGGTCTTAGGATGGACGCTGCACAACGTCGTCAGTGGCAAATGGAATCCCTCAAACAGGGGCTTGGTGCACTCGCCCAGAAGATGACAGACTGGCCACCACCTGTAAAGGGTGTTTGTTTTAACAGCTGGGCAATTAACGGAGGTGATGTCGGAAGGCCCATGGCGACGTACTGGCGGATCCATCATGCAACTCTGCTCGATGGTGATTCGGTGTTCGGAAGCATGCCGTAGGCAAACTGGAAACTCCACATTGTTTGTACTCAAATCGTGCACAACCACGGTGTACTTCGACGACACGATAAGGGGTCTTGCCGCAGCTGCGCCAGAAGGAAAAATCTCTTCACCATTGCCCGAGGCCAACACTACAGTAGTGACCGCGAACTGTGTCCGCTTTTTAGACTTTAGCTGATGTTCCCGCACGGACCATGAAACTGTGGCACATTATGGCGCACACTGCGCAGCATGTCCCATATCAAGTACCCTCCAAAAGTGGATTACGGTATGACATGCATCAGTTGGGGCTGTTTTCTTCGTCACCCCATCTGCTGTAGTGGCCATCACGAATCGTCGGCCAATGTTCGCCATGCCCTTCGCATGATGACGGCAAAGTATGACGCGACAAACACAATGCAGAGCATTAAAAGCCATTTTGCGCCTGTTTATAGGAATACTCGTGAAGTGTAGTAGTGTCCACTGGACATGTCCGGCCTTCGAAGTTAATGGCTGTTTTTGCACGAACCAGCCAGGTGTGGCGTGCTATAGCGTGTTGCTTCATAATAATAGTCCACGTCAGAAATAGATAGTATTCCAAGCAGTAAATGGCCTTCATAACGAGGTCGTTCGGTATGCGTCTCCTTTCAGAATTACCTTCCGGCCCTTTCGTTAAGGGGGTGGATGCGGCCAGATTTCATGTATAATAACTCCCGGAAGACGTCCACTCTCTCTTCAGTTGAGACTTTATGCATGAATAAAGCTGAAACTTGATTATCGTCCTAGATGCGATCCACTCTGTGGTACAGCAGACTCCCCGTGCTTCGTTCTCTAGATTTGCATGCTACTCATAGCCTTTATGAGCTTCTCGATGGATGCATGCCTGCTCATGGTAGTGTCCTTGTTGCGCCCTTAGTCATCGCCATCTGAGACTGGACTCTTGCTGTCCATATTCTCATTACACGATTCGAGTTGTATGTATGCATCCGCTAGCAGATCCACGGAGAGAACGCGCTCAGGGTCGTCCTCGGCATAATTGTGAGCTTCAACAGCAACGACATGCTCGAACATCTCGATCGCCTCCTTGATCCGTCGGTCGTTGGGGTATGCCCTCGCGAGCCAGCTTTCTATGTGCTCCTTTGATAGCCTTTCCCCTGTATTGCCATTTTTTCCTCAGCGCCACATTTCTTCAAAGCATCGTATTGCTTCTTTAAACCGTCGGTCGATATGCATACATCTCCCAACATGAAACACAAGCTCATATCGGTGTTCTGTTTCCGAAGCCTGAGTGTCATGAAGAAGCCGCATTGCGTGTGGCATACACTGCCGCCACCGCTTACGGTTCTCATGATCGCTTGGAGGAAATATATCGTTGAAGCGACGAATAGCATCATACGCCACCCGTTCATGTCGATCCTGCTTCTTAATCCATTCCCGCGTGGCCATATGCACAAGACTGTGCATATCGAATATATCGTCGTCTCCTCGCCGAGCAAGAAACGAGTAGCCGCAGAGGATGCCGATCGCCCATTCGTTCTCCTCTGACTCAGACCCGGGCATGATCCATTGTGGTATCGCCTTCGGCTCGATACATGCCGTAAACGAGAGCAGATCGACCGCAACTGGATCGGACTTCAGAATCTGTTCAAATGAAACAATCCATGTTGTGGCTATAGCGTTATGCGAGTTCCGATATCTTGTGCTGTCGCGGAATTCTCGACCTAAGAGCCGGACGGCATCTTTCTCGGCCCCACGTAGTAACCCTAGGTATTTGCGGATTGGTACCTTGGTCTGATTGAGATATGCTGCTGCCTGGGTGATTGCGAGCGGAAGATAGGTTAGTTGGATAAGAAGATCTTCTAGTAGTGCTTCGTCCTGGGGTGTCTGTCTCTGCGCGAGATACTTCTGGAGAAGTAGTGTTGCCTCGTTCGAGTCCATTTCCTCAATGTCGATAATCTTAGACTGTGCAAACTGCACAGCTACTTGTCTCGATCGCGTCGTCAACAGGATTAATCCGTTCTCGCCCTCAGGAAGGTACTCCTCAACACCAGCCTTGTCGTCAGATCCGAAGAATAGCTCCTGGTCGTCAGCATTATCAACCACGAACAGCCAGTTGCCGCCTTTGTCCGAGCTCAGATATTGGCGAACTAGTTCCTTGATATCTTCGTCGTCGGTCTTCTTCTGGACGCCTAGCTTCCTGGCTATCTCGACGTACGCCTGTTCTACGCTGCCATGACTCAGGACTGGTACCCAGAAGATAGAACAGTCGGGCTGGCTAGCTTTGATATCGTAAGCAAACCGTAGCGCAATCTGCGTCTTGCCGATGCCACCTAGACCGACCAGTGCCATTCGTCGGGTTTCTGCTCACGTGAAGAATGCTTGACTTAATGTGTCCAGGACGGTATTTCGACCAGTGAAGCGGGCGTTCTTAGGAAGCTGGATATAGTAACATGGAAGAGCAGATTCTGCCAATAGTTAGTAGTATTCTAATTAGAGAGATACTAGCCTTTTGTAGCACTCACCGTTTGATCTCATAGCCCTTGTAGTACCATCCGTACGACTTGTACTTCCTACGGGAGGTATCTCCCTCAGCACGGCTTTCGCATAGGCAGCCGCCATCGCCGCCGCGTACGGTTGCCACTCCTTATTTTTCTGCTGGTCGCCATAGTCGCACACCCCCGGATCACTCCCACCGGAATTCGATTCATCGTTCCAGCCGCCTCCATCTCGAGGCCAATAACCCCGTACTCGTCCCTGAGCTCGTTCCGTCTCTGCGCATTCTTTAACAGCTTCTCTCCCGATCCAATCGGCCCGTACCGCACGCGTGTACGGGCTGTATTTGGTCGTCGAGCGCGTTCAAGAGCTACTCCCGGCCTGTTTTCGGTTGTTGTGGAGTAAAATCGGTCGCGATCTTGACCAGGGTCGGCAAAGGTACCGGTTGCGTGCTCCTTATTACGGATCGTCTCGTAGTAGGGTAGGAAAATCGCGGCGTCATTCGGTGCTTGGAGTTTGATTCTCCCGATTGCTGACCTCACTAATGGCTAGGTCGTGGCCAAGACGTGTCCGTACCGTAGGGGTTGAAATCCGTCGTCCGTCTCTTTGCCGAGTTCGTACGCGATGATCCCGGCTCTCTCGCCCTCAGGGAGACTGACGAGCACATCGCCGAGGCGGATGTCGCGGGGTGGACTGCAGGACAGATCTGGCAGTCCCGCCGCGACGCCAACCAGTAGTCCAAACCAGTGATGGGGAAAGCACTTGAGAATCTGGCTTGCGAGTGCTGCCGCCGACCCTGTGCCATACTCCTGGCCAGCTGGGAAAGTCGCTATGACGACATTGTGGCCGCACATGCTACCCGCGTGGAACACGTACTCATCGCCATGATCCACTGCAAATCGGCCTTGGTGTTGCTCGTCGAGCATATATAAGGCGGCCTTGGCTTCGATCTCGAGGGGTGCAATCCAGACGACAGCATAGTCCTTGGGGTCGAGGATAGCTGCGGGATCACCCTGTGATGCCGCCATCCCGTCTAGTCGAGAATGAGGTGGCTTTTAGCGCGTAGTTGACAGACAGCACTCCCGTCCAGCGTCCGTGCTGACGATTACCTCTGGAAGGTGCCCGACCACAGCGCTGTGCAGCCTTGGATCCGCTTTGCAATCCTGCCCGAAAGTGGGGTGGGGTCCTCGTTACCCCACTTCAACGCCACTGAAGACAACCATTCAACGATCCTAGTTCCACGATGAGCCTTTCACCTCCGCAAAAGCGTTCGGCACCATCTACATTGCTGCTGCCTTCGAGGGACCTTCCAACCTCTGGTCCTGGGCCGCAGTAGGAATTGTCCGGAGTCTCTGCGCCGCATGATGATTTGTGTGAGGATTACTTCCTGATAAGCATATGTAGAATAGACATTCACTATCAAAGTATCCTGTACTGTATAAACAGACACAAATTGGCCTTTGATGCTATGTGTTATGTTTGCCACCTCATACTTTGCCGTCAGCTTACGAAGGGTATGGCGATGATTGGCCGATGATTCGCGATGGCCACCACTGCAGATGGGGCGACGAAGAAACAGCACCTGCTGCATGTCATGTTGAAATCCACTTTTGGAGGGTACTTGTTATGGGACAGGCTGCACAGTGTGCGCCACAATGCGCCACAGCTTCTGGTCCGTGCGGGACCATCAACTAAAGTCTGAAAAGCGGACACAGTTCGCGGTCACTACTGTACCTTTGAATCGCTATTGTTCCTTTACCCCCATACCCACGATGATCTTTCTCCATCGTCCAAATGCCAGCAGCGGGGCTGCGATCCTCATCTGCGCCGCTTTCATACTCTTTATTCTAGCGTCGAAGCCTCCATCGCATTTCTCGTCACCGGTTTCAGTCCATCACAACTCGGACTGGCGTGACCCGGAAAGCGATTCATACTTCTGGAAGTCTTTGCCAATACTCTACCCTCCGTCGTCAGTGCAGGCCTTGCCGACAAGTGGACTGTTTCCTTTCCCGCTGTTCAAGCCATATCGTTCCCCGAGTCTTCTTTTGAGAAAGCTCTCAGGAAGGAACGTAGGCAAGCTGTGAAGGACACATTCACACGGGCATGGACATCCTACTGCGAGTACGCTTGGCTCGCCGACGAGCTCGCACCGGTTACCCGAGGCAAACGAAGCGCTTTCGGCGGCTGGGCTGCCACACTGGTAGACTCGCTCGACACTCTGTGGATCATGGACATGCGAGAAGAGTTTGAGGACGCCGTCGCCGCAGCAACAACCATCAATTTCACACGGACCGACGCTGGTGAAATCAATGTCTTCGAAACTACTATCCGTTATCTTGGCGGTTTCCTCGGTGCTTTTGATGTCAGCGGAGACTACCGACTACTTAGAAAGGCTGTCGAGGTTGGAGAGATGCTGTACAAGGCCTTCGATACACCCAACAGGATGCCTATCACAAGGTGGGATTTGCATGCTGCCATGCTCAATGACAAGAAGAAGCAAGTGGCGGGCTCATCAACACTTGTTGCCGAGATTGGCAGCTTATCAATGGAATTTACGCGCCTGTCCATTCTCACGGGAGACCCAAAGTGGTTCGACGCGGTTCACACGATTGCTCAACGTATGGAGGAGCAGCAAATGTGGACAGAGTTACCTGGCTTATGGCCACTCGTTGTTGACGCAGAGAAGCTCCTCTTCAGCCTGGGATCGACCTTTACACTCGGCGCCATGGCTGACTCGGCGTATGAGTACTTGCCAAAGATGTCAGCTCTGCTCGGCGGCCAGATGGATCTCTATCAGACCATGTACGAACGCGCGGCTCAGGCAGCACTACGGCATAATCTCTTTCGACCTATGGTCCCCACGGGGGAGGACATTCTCATCGCTGGTGTAGCCCACACTAGTCACGGCGGTCGCACTGTCGAGCTGGAGCCCGCCGGCCAACATCTTGTTTGTTTCTTCGGAGGCCTGATGGCACTTGGAGGCAGATTGTTCAGTCGAAAGCAGGACTTCGCGGCTGCAGAGAAGCTCGTAGATGGCTGCATCTGGGCCTATAAGTCAATGCCTCACGGCGTTATGCCGGAAACCTTCAAAGTGTACCCCTGCTCATCGCCACAGAACTGCACCTGGGACGAGTTGCTATGGATGACACAGGTCCTCCGAGACAATAATGTGAGGGACGTGGAAAGTCTTAGCTACTCTCAATTAGTTCAGCTCGTTACGGAGAAAAACCTGCCAAGAGGATTCACGGCGATCCCGGACGATGCGTATCTGCTTCGACCGGAAGCGATCGAGAGCATATTTATTCTGTACCGTGCAACGGGCCGCAAGGATCTGCACGATGTAGCATGGAACATGTTCACAGCGATTGATCGAATCACGCGCACCGAGTTTGGTAACTCTGCAGTACGTGGTGTTTCAAGCCTCCGTGGCAAGCCACTGCAAACAGACTCGATGGAGTCCTTTTGGCTGGGGGAAACGCTGAAATACTTTTATTTGGTGTTCAGCGATCCGAATATCATCAGCTTGGACGACTTTGTGTTCAATACCGAGGCGCACCCCTTGCGCAGATTGTTGCCATAATGCTGGAAGGTATGGGTAGCGTAGAACGTAGTATTGACTGAGCTCGGTAACTATATCCCAGTACCGGTACGATGCAATAATTGTGAAAGAGGGGGGATTAAGCCTTGGGAAACATAAGCTTTCAGCATGTTCTAAGCGTCAGGAGTCCCCACTCACAGAATCACCGATGCTTTGGCGGATTAGGCCGATCTCGTCCATAGTGAACCTTACTAATGAAAATTATACTTAATAGTAGGGGATACTTACTGATAAATTGGATCTATATTCCCACTATGATTTTACTAGTTTCCCACCATTTCATCGTCGAAGGATATTGATGGGATGAAAAGTCTTAGACCTCTATACTAGACCGCCGCGTTATGTGCGGTGGTTCTTGATAGAGCGAGGGTTTCATATGGTAACCGCATAGCAGCTATAAGACGGTCATAGTTCCCGGAAGCATAGCCTCATTTTCCTTCCGCTTCGATGACATGATTATCTACGTAGCGCAACCGCTGTGAGGCGGTTTATGCACTAGGCCTTTCAAGAAGGAACTCAACACACATGATGTGATTTGAAGACGCTCCTTTGCCCGCCCCTTCCGCAGATGGCGATGGTCGCATGTCAAAGCTTGACGCAGTGCTTGGAATAGACGTCAGTAATGCCTTCTCGATCGCTACGGTCGCTCCGACCTCATTTGCGACATGGCTACTTTTATAATGCTCGTCGAGACAATCGTTGCCCTTTGCAATGTGATTACACAGGGGCCATAAGCAGACTAACTCGGACTCCACGGTGGCAGCCTGTAAAGGGTCCTTGGTCGAATTGTCTGTGATACTCTCCGTGTACTGGTATTGGGGTTGAAAGCTCCATCGAGTCCTCTGTTTGGAATTGTCTAATTGATGTTTTGTAGGGTCCTGGGTGTGAAATATATCCACACTCCCTGTTCTTCCATGCCAGTCCTTTGCGTTGGAACTGGCAGCCTCCCTGGAGCCCGATGTCATGGCCTGTACCCATTGGTGTTGAAGACCGGCGCACCTATCGCAGATAGACCTAATTCTATTGTCCTGTGGACTGTTAGGAGTAGAACTTGCTGTAATTATGGAGATCCATTACCTGAAACATCAAGGCGTTGCAATAAGTGCAGGTGTCCTCCGATCGTGTCTTTTCGTTTTGAGCCAGAGTCTCTTCTGGATGGACAACAGCTTTTCGCTCATAGTCAACTCTCAATACTGGAGATCCATTGGACTGGGCTGCGCAGTGTAGGTCCTTCTTCATGATTTTCCGCTGCGCGGGCCGATTTCGCTGGATCTGTCTGCGCACCATCTTCAAAGAGCGATCCTCAGACGCGGTATAGAGATAGAGGGTATGAAACTCGAGGAAAAGGATCTCTTGCACCAGAGGTGCGGGAGGTATGAAGGGGCATTGCCATAGCGTCTTGTGTACAAGCGGTGCTGACAAGCGCAAACTAAGTAGCTGCTACCGCATGTGGCGACTCAGTATGCAGGGCTTACGCCTTGTCTTACTGGCGGTGCTGTATCCTTATCATTAAAGATATGTTTAACAAACTTATAGAATCCTTTGTTTGCTACAAGTGACCTGTTTGTGAAACACGAATCCAGTCTCCACCATGAACAGTTCTGGTTTTGCAGGAGCCACAATCAGATTCGAAATCCGTGTCCATTTTCGCCCAACGCAACTCGCTCTGTGCATATTCCGCCTTGTGTTGACGATGCAAGGTGCGTGGACCCACAAACAGAGCTGCCCGGAGGTGGGTGGGCAGCAATAACAGCCAGCTCGCGCCGCATCTTGGATTTCCCATCGTTCACTTGTTGCATAAACAGGAGGATAACTGGGAGGAACTCAGAACGAATTCTCAAGATGTCTTGAAGCTTTTTGGTGAAACAACCTACGGTACGCTGTCGTGAACGTCCGGGTATTCTGGGATAGGTTTCATTCCACGTGAATTTCCTGTCAATTTGGGCTGAGTCAGAGGTTATGATTGAAAGACCTCAGGTGGCATTCCCGCACGTGCCTCTCCTCAGAATGGATTTCTCGGCTCACGCCGGAAATGTTATCGCCGCATCCACGGCTGGTGTATAGTTTCCCACTCGGAAAATCATTCGTATAGAGATGTTCTCATAGCTTGGGCTTGGTCCACAATAGTATTGTATGAGATAAGGTGTGAAGTATAAAGATGTCTCTACATAGCAGTAAAATGTAAGATAAAAACACGACCATCCCAACATCCAAGAAGCAGCTTAGTGCCTGCATCCAGTGTGGCCCACTCAACAGCTCCCGATTGGAGCTCTGGGAGAAGTCAGAGGACTGGCCGCGAATCCCCCCAAACCCGTGTACCATTCGAACTAATATAGACTGTTAGATATTGTGAAACTTGTCAAATCATACTATGTAAGCGCCAGGATTTAACGTGGGACGTGCAGCACCGATTGTGCAAGCGCATCACTC